CCAACTTGCGTCACATGTAGCGCCGACTGGTGAGATATCCGACTATCTATGAAAGGACAAGTATATCTCACTGCAATTCGTTCTGTCGTGTGGTATAGCTGTGAGACATGGCCGTCGAAAGTTAAAGACAAAGTGATCTCAGGTTTACGACTTCAAGTGTCTTCGTAGCATTGCTTGCATTTGGTGGATCACTGTGTAAGCGATGTTGAGGTCAGGCGAAGGGTACTAGGCAAGACAGATAGTTAGATTGATGAGACTGTGAACCTTAGTCGACTGAGGGGACTGGAACATGTGTTGCGCATGCCGAGTCACCGCTTACCCTGACGTGCCATACTAGAGGAAGCTGGATTAGGTTGGAGGAAGGTTTAGGGTAACCAGGACATGACCTGTCAATTAAATCTCTTACTGTTGGTATGGGCTACGTTGGGATATGTAGACTGTAGACTCTGTTGGAGTCTCAGAGACGAAAGGAATCAGTGGTTGAGGAATTTTGGTGATGTGGCTGAAATTGGTCACAATGGCGCAGATGTATTCACTCCTTGACATCTTGCAAAGCTTGAATATTCGCAATAACCGTTATCTTCAGATTGTTCGTGCTCTCACACTACTATTTTCATATCAACTTTTCAATCTATTCTTTATATGCTACTGTGAACTGTGGTAACTTGAGCCGATGCACCTGTGTGCCAGTTTAACGTTGGTTTTGTCAGTCATTCAGTCAGTTAAGAAAAAAACAGTTGTCGCTATAATGTATATTACTACGCTTTGTAATGGGGTCCGATTATGAGGTCATACTACTGACTGGAGATGGTCAGTGGGGTGTTTTTTACGAATTACTGATGGTATGATGCTCATAGTGCCTTCCTTATGGGAAGGTTGGGTTAGAACAGGTTCTTCTGAGAATCGACAAATTCTATCCTTCTTGATGGTATGGGTTTTCTAGTTGAATGCAAATTGAAAAAGGCTGGTCTTAAAACCTTCGAAAAGGCTGTGCCAGCCATCATCATCAAACCTGTGTCTTGGCCTCTGTGATCATGCACCACTAATACTAACGCATTATATTTTTCAGGTACCTCAAGAAGTAACAGCCTTCCTCTGTATGGGCAGTCGGGAAGTGTCAATCACTCTCACTGCTGTCAACATTCAAATTCCTTAAGATCGTCGTCAGCCTCTGATACCTTTACCTTCTAATCTTCTTTCATGTCACGCCGTCAATATTACTACATAATCTATAATATCTTCCAGCTATTTACGTCTGGACAACGATTTGATTTGACGGCACAGCATTTCCGGTTCCCTAAAACTGCATAACTAATTGTACATTAGTAACTTCAATGCTCCCACCGTTTGTTAAATAGAGCAACAAGCTTCACTTCTCCAAAGCTCTAGCATCTCGGACCATGGATGTTTGATATGTTTACCAGACACGCATACACGACTCAAAAGCAGTTATTCACTTAACCTCACCTAACAAATACGGGTAATCAGAAAAATTTGCCCTTCATGTTTCTGGGTATCCGATGGCTAGTTTTCGCTATCTTATAGCTGTAAGTAGAGCACTACTGCTTAGGCAGAAAGTTCACTACTCGACTGGGTCCCAGTTGAGAGTCGCCTATGCGCTATTCGACTGAACTGCACAGTGAATACTAAGCAGAAAAGCAAAACCTGCTATTGTGTTTTTGTAATCTCTGCTACCACACCCACTGACTTCATTTGGGATGAAGTGAAGGATGATTTCTGCCGAGAAATGTCTAGCCTCTTAATGAAAGCCGAACGTTCAGAAGTGGTTGTTACTGTTGTTGGTTGTGATTTCAATCCCAAGTGAGTAGGCTGTCAGGCAGGAAAGTACTTAGGTGGATGGCACTTTGAGAATCTCAGTGGAACGAACAGATGATGGTGATCGCCTGCTACAACTGTGCTCAGACATCCACCTACTTCTTACGAGCATGAACTTCGGAGATGATGAGATATGTTGTCTGACTTGGTGTCTTCCGACGTCAAGTAAACGGTGGACACAGATAAACCATATTGCAGTCAGTAATCATTGGTGAGGGTCAGTGGGAGATTGGTGTTCCTTCTGAAGTACGGATTGAAGAATGACCACATTTTGGTTCCATGAGGTATAGCTCCCCGGTTAAATGCACATGGGAAAACAAAAACAGCAGAATCCATCGTGAATGTTTCTTGAATTTTGTGATACTAATGCTGTTTTCAGCAAGGAAATGACTAGACAGTTATTGGAATAGAGCAATAGAATAATGTCATTCATGAAGAAATCTCCAGTTTACTGTAGAGACAACGTTGAAGAGCTTAGCTGACTGAAAAAGTGATTAATTCTTCCGAATTAATTGATTCATGCATATGCATCCTTGCAGGCTATGGTGGTGAGTAGTAAAGAATAAAGAAGACGGGATAGGTAGTGTCGATATGTAGGTAGGCAGCTATTCATACTTATTAAAGAAGTTAGAGCAAAAAAGCCAATGGTTAATGAAAATATCATGCAGAAGAATACACATACGATTCGCTCACACGAGGGACGACTGGAATGATTAGGCGAATATGGGAGAGCAATACATTTGATCTCCAGCTACTATTCCGGTAGTTGTTATCCAGTTAGATCCTGAATGGATCATTGCGATAACTGGAAATAGTCTGAAAGGATGAATGCGAAGCTGTTTAAGGATTGTGGTCGCAGATTTCTGGTCAGGTTTATTGAAGTGTTAATTAATGCATGGGAGTCACATGTGATTCCTTGTGACTGGTGTCAATTACTGATTGTCTCAGCCATCAAGAAAGGTCAGAAATCTTTTTATGGTCACCGTAGGGTAGTCAACCTGACAAACGTTTCTAAGATTCTAGGTTCTGTAGTTATCAGAGGTCTGAGTAGAGCTCAGGAACAGTGAACATGAGGAAACCACACAGGTTTCATACCTTTCTTTGAGTGTGTCGAGTAGACTGATTCCAGACAGCTCTGACCATACTGGAGACCAAGAGTCTGTACAATGATCGCTAGCAGTGACGGGTGGCAAAAGTGAGAGAGATGTAGAAGACATCAAAATTAGGTAACACTCAGCAGTTATCTAAACTGATTATGAATAATTGCAGGCAGAAGAGCATAACTAGTGATAAGATAATCGATAAGAGGAATCGTTGATAACTTTTCGGGACAGGCGGCTAGAACTTTGGGCGGAACATTTAGAAGCAAAGTTCATCTGACCCACAGCAGTCTTCAGGAAAGGCGATAAATCTTCATATGAAAAACAGAGGAACCAGCCTGACAAACGATATATCCAAGATTCTAGGTTCTACAATAACCAAACGTCCAAAGGAAGCTCAGGAACAGATAATCTGAGAGAATTTAATAAACTTCAGACCTGGTCGTGGGAGCATCGACCAAATATTCACCGTGCTACACGTTCTGGAACGTAAACACATACCACCACCAGAAATCAGCTGTATCTCGTTTCTTATCACCCAGTTGCTAATTCTTGCTCCAGAACTAGTGTTCTCTGGTACCTTGTCCAACAACAGGGAGTGAAGTGGTTAAGCGCGTTGACCACTTCACTTCCTTGAGGATTCGGACCAGCCTACGCGGGTTAGTAGCTGACTAAATCCTTACACGGATACATAAGGTTCCCCTGGCCTTCACCAACTTCCACCATTTGTCGTACCGCTGTGATATCCGATTGCTAATTAAAGGTCGTTTAGTGCGCTATAGTTCGCTCTATTCTCCTAAATAGTTGTAGAAGATAACCATGAAAGACAGACGATATGAAGAGGCGTTCGACCACCGCTGACTTCATATTCTAGGCCCTGTCATGGTTTCATCACACCAGTTAGGTAGTTGGTTCTCACCTACCGCTACATCCTCCAGACTTTTGATCCACACATTAAATTTGGTACCCGAACCCATACAGGACTGTTGCTAGGCTGAAAAGGCTAAGGGTGGTCATAGTAACAGCATAAATTTGTGAAGTCTCAAGCTGTTTGTGTAACGGAACTCAGACTTCTTGGTTAAGATCCACGAAGCTGATTGAAGGATTTGTTTACACTATTTCGTATATATAATAATATATACCCTTTTCTCTTCGTTGTGTTAACTTTTATCATGCAACATAATTATTCTCTTTGCCTGTCCCCTAGTTCATTTCGGAGCTATATGCTGATGGACAGTGTGGTCCAGTAAACCTTGGTGTATTGTGACTCTAGATATTGGGTTGCAGTGTGCAAGGATTCTGAAATAAGTTCATTGATGAGCAACATTCAAGTTGTGCTTAATATGAAGTAAAAAGTAAATCGACCAGTTATGTGGCAAAACTGCTTTTGTTCTCCATACCACCAACTGCCTACCTTGATGCTGAATGATGATTTAAGCAAAAGTAAAACAGAATAAACCTTATTATGATCACGCCAAAACTCGACATCTAAGTCTACGTGGCCACTTGATTCATTGACCTAAACCTGTGTCTTTTAAGCAGTGGATTCTGGGTTCAAACGCTGCTCCACTTCAGTTTGAACAACAAGATATTCCTCACACAATCAATGTGGCTTATAGCATGTAAAACAAACCTGTATACCTGTATGGGGTCGACTAACTATGAGTTGCATCTAAAATCACTGACTTATTGACTGAAGTTAAATAAAGAAAAATCGAGTTTGAGAACTCCATATATCAGTAGCCAAAGTTTGGTAATATGACTCAAACAGGACGACAGTTGACAGTGCATTCATTTTATTTATACTGCTAACATTGAACACTTAAGTATCTATCTTATTTTTCATTGTGTTTTTCCTACTTTTCATTACTCATGACTCTTCCCCATTGGTTCTACGGTTGCTGATTTTTTTGGTTTGAGAAGTGAAACCATTAGTTTTCTGTATTTCAGCTCTTGTCCGCTTAATTTAGATTACTTTGTATCATGTTAATTTTTAGAAATTATTTCATGAGAACGGATTCCGTTTGTTGTATACATACAAATTTCCAATTTTTCATATTTCAGCCTTTTCTGTCGAATCAGTTACTAGTTACTTCGTATGCAAGTAACAAACTTGAAATAAAATGTACCAACTGTCCGGTCAGATGATATCTGGTCTAAAAACGTATAAGTACTCGTGTGTCGATAATTCACCTTTTTCAACGTATATCATGCATCCTTTTTGGGACTGGCTGGCACAAGTATGACCTATTATCTAGAAGTTTTCATTTTCAGTTTTATCCTGTTTGGCTAGCTCCAAATCTAATAACATTCACTGGCTTCCTTCTGACTGTTGCGCATTATTTTCTAACATGCTTCTATAATCCCAACTTTTCTGCAACATTCAGTGTTCCTACGTGGGTTTGGCTTGTTACTGCCTTCCTTGTATTTATCGCCCATACATTAGGTTAGTTTCACAATACAAACTAACGTTAACTTTTCCCTGTAGATGGTACAGATGGGAAACAGGCCCGTCGAACTAAGTCATCCTCTGCTCTTGGTGAATTATTTGACCATGGATGTGATTCATGGGTGTGCCTTTTTCTTCCTGGTTCCATGTTCTCACTGTTAGGTGAGGTATATACTACGCGAGAAATGTTTCTTGGACAGTGGGTTTTAATTATTAGCTTCCTCATATCCCATTGGGAGAAGTACATAACAGGTATCTTGTTTTTACCCTGGACTTTTGATACAAGTCAGATAGTAAGTACATTTTTTTTCAACTTAATTTATTCTTTTCATTGAGACCTGTATTTATTTAAGATTGCGCCTTAGACATTCAATAAAATATCTATCGTCATACTATCAACGTTCTGTCTAATAACAATAGTGTGAAGTGACTTTATAACTGTATATATTTCAGCACAAAAGTATTATTAAAGTTTCAGTTATGAGTAAGTGAATCAGCAATAAAAGTGAAATAAATGTTACTAAAATATTCTAACTGTTGATGTGCTCACGGGCTGTAATTTTGCTCGAAATATTACGAAAATAATAACTTACCACTGTATGTAAACTTTGCATTAAAAATTTACCTATAATACATTAAAAGTGAATCCTTTTTAAGAACTTAAATCACGTGTATAGATGGGTTTGTTTTCTCTGATGTTTTCCTTTAAAACAATTCATTCTGTATTAGCACAACTAGCTACATAAACAAGATGATTACTAAATTTCATAGATCCTTTAGCTGTTTTGAGCTTTCTAATAAAGTTCCTTATCGAAGTTCTCACTGCACGGCACAGTGAGAACTAAAAGGAATAGTTAGACTCGCCGTTGTCTCTTTGTAATCTCTGCTTACGCACCCACTGACTGTAGTTCGGATGAAGTGAAGGACGAGTTCTACCGTAAACTGTCTAGCCTCCCATCGAAAACCAAACGTCCGGATGTGGTGGTCGTTGCAGGCGACTTCAATGCACAGGTGGTTAGACTGAGTGAGGCAGAAAGGCACCTAGGTGGCACTTTCGGAATCCCGGCTGAAAATACAGATAACGGTGATCGCCTACTACAACTGTGCTCAAATAACCACCTATTTTTAGCTAAGACAACTTTGAGATATAAAGAAAGACACTATCTGACGTGGCGTTCACCGAGCTCAACTCAGCGATGGACACAGTCAGACCACATCGCTATAAGTCATCGGTGGAAGACTGCCACTCCTTCTGGAGTATGTGTTTGGATAGCGACCACGCGTTGGTTCCAGCACGGATATGCCTGCGTCTCAATGGACGTCAGAAACATTTGGCAACAAAACCACTACGAGTGCTGCTGGACTACGATAACACCGAAGCTGTGTTCAGTGAGAAGTTGGCTAGGCAGTTATCGGAACAGAAGACTATCACTCATCCAGAAGAAGCTTGGTGCCATCTCCAGTCTGCTGTAAAAACAGCACTGAAGACCGTAGCCGACTCCTAAATAGTGGGTAAAAAGAAACAGTGGATATCATCAGCTTCTTCCAAACTAATGGATGCACGTGAACGCATCTCTGACTGCAGGCTCTGAGTACAATGAAGGGCGAGCACAACTAGAAAGTAGATTGAGAAGAAGTCTAAGCAACGACCACGAAGAGTGGTGGTCAGCAAATCCTAAATAGATGGAAAAGGCGGTGGTGGTTGGTGGTTATTTAGACTTATTAAGGAGACTGGGGGAAAAGGTCAACAACAGTTAGTGAGGCTGTAGTGGAGAAGGACGGATCTGCGATGGGCAGAACACTTCGAGGAGCATTTTAACTGTCCTCCAGCCACCATCACGTTGCCCGCTATCCAGTGGGATCCTGAATGGAACATTGAGATAGGCCCTCCCCCCAAGGCTAGGAGGAGTTGCGAAGCAGTAGGTAAGCTGAAACGAGGAAGGGCGGTAGGACCAGACGAACTAACTCCTGAGGTATACAAGGATGGTGGTAAGTTGCTGTTAGTCAGGTTAACGTAAGTGTTAAGCAGTATATGGGAATCAAATACAATCTCCTCTAACTGGTCTGAGTCACTGATTATCTCAGTCTTTGAGTGGTAATTCGAGAATGTTTGGGATGCGTTTCTCACCACACAAATGCAAATTGTTGCTCCAGGATTGGTCTTCGATGGTGCCACGGCTAATAATAGAGAGTGTAGTAATTGAGTGTGTCGACCACTTCACTTACCTAGGAAGTAGGATCAGCCGTGGTAGCTCACTGGCCGATGATGTCTCTGCAAGAATACAGAACGCTTGGCTGGTTTTTTGCCAACTTACCCCACCTATGCACCACCGTGATACTCGATTGTCGATTAAGGGTCGCGTGTACTGCACAACAGTCCGCTCTGTTCTACAGTATACCTGCAAAACATGGTCATTGAAGGTGGAAGACATGATAAGGCTGGTTTCAGGTGTTTGACCACCGTCGCCTTCGTAGTATAGGCCGTATTCCGTGGTGTCACCATGTGAGTAACGCAGAAGTCAGGTGTAGAGGTAAGTCAGTTGACGAGGTTGTCAAGCTTCAGCGACTGAGATGGTTGGGGCACGAGTTGCTTATGCCTAGTCACCGTCTACCTCGTCACACAGTGTTGGCCGAAGTAGGTTCAGGCTGGGGAAATGCCCGAGGTGGTCAGACTCTAAAACATGGCATAAATGTGTGAAGTCCTTGATTGTTGGTTTAAGCCATGTGGGGTGATGCAGACTAGATGGTTGGGGTTGACAGGATAAGAGGGACCAGTGGTTGGCGACTCTAGGTGATATGGCTGAGAATCGATGTCATTGGCACAGATGTATACACACATTATCCTCATCTTAACGACGCTATACCAAATCTCACCGTTTTCTCGTTCCTTCCTTTCTGTTTTCGTACTTTATATTTCTTTTGACTGAATTTTCTTATCTTCATCTTGCACCTCATTGCCTTTTTGCTTGATGTGCTGATATGAGGTGTAGAAACTCGGACCGTCACGCAGTAATGTCTGGTCCTATGTTGATCCGGATGATGATGATGATCATTGTCGGAGATGTTAATAAAACTTTGGGACATTGGTTTGAGCTTTTTACTTACAGTTATTAGCAGGCAGTGTGAACTTAGCTTTATGTATCACTGTTTGAACATTGTAATCAGCCATTTTACATACACCCTAATGCACAAAATATGTATTAAGTTGCTGAGATAAATTGCATGTTTTTTTCCATAACGAAAGTTATCATTATTGTTTTGATCTTTCATTTGACACACAAATTTGGTAAAACATGGCTTTTCATTGATACGCGCTGTGCAAAATAGTAAAACATCATTATGAAGACATGGAAGTGACATAGAGGAAACAAACTAATATACAGATTCATAAATGGAATTGGATTGTTATAGAATGAATCGCAAAATTATATTCAAAGAAGCATTCACTACTCATGTTTAACCTTTCCATGACAGGAGAGACAAGAAAACTGTAACATGATAGCCTCTGGTTTCGATTTTGAGCGTTTTCTCTCACTGTCTTAAGCCAGGGTTGCATAATCTCCACCCTGTCCATGGAGTCGACAGATACTAAACTAGCAGATCCCTCATCTCACGGTGCCATGTTATGCACTGAACAACTCTCTACTTCTTTTTATCAGATCAAAGACTGGTAGCTAGGGAATGGTATAGGAATCTCTTGGATAGTATTCGTTACACTTCAAAGCCGACAAAGCCTCTGTTTCAAGCTGGCTTTTTAGACTGAATGAGAATCTTCATCGCACCCAAGAACACCTATTCATTTTAAAATTACCCCGATGATGTATTCACCGAAGACCAAAAATCGTACGGATACAACGTTGATGGAAAATAAAATAATTGGACATCTTCAACTCATTCAGGCCAGTTTTCACAGAAATAAACCACAGCTACCAGCACCAAAACGACTACATACCTGACATTTTGTAACCAGGCTGACGTTGCAACGGTGCCAAACGTGGCCCAGGCTGACTTGTCACCTTATCTTTCGGTATATTGTTAGAAACCTCTTCAGTCACACATCCACTGTTCCTGTTTAACTTTGTTGTGAATGTACTAATGGACATAATGTTAGGTAACTCTGACTTCACAGGGATTGATCTACTTACTCCCTGAAAGGCACGCTAGTTGACTTGGAGTACACATAGTATGCAGTGTCTTCTGAACGCTTTGAGCAGAAATCTGAGTATGTTGGGCATGGATTTCTCTCCTGTCAAATGTAAGATGATCCAGGATCGGTCTGCAGCTATTCCCAGTTTAAGGATGGGTTGTAAAGTCGTTGAATGCGTCGGTCACTTTACTTACGAGATCTCATCTTGGATACGCAATGCCCTTTTGGCCCCTGCGATTTTGCGTCACCCTTAGTGCTTACTGGTGAGATATCCAACTGCCTATTTATACGAATACACAGCTTTTCGGTCCACTCTGAACTATTATATGGCTGTGAGATATGGCCATTGAAAGTAGAAGACATGAAATGGTTACAGGGTTTTGATCACAGTAACTTCAGAGCGTCGTTCGCATTTAGCGGAATCACTGTGTTACCAATGTATATGTTAGGCGAAGGGTACTAGGCAAGACAGGTAAGTCGATCGATAAGGTTGTAAACCTTCAGTGATTGAGATGATTTGGGCATGCGTTGCGATGCCGAACCACTACCTACTTTGACGTCCGATGTTAGCTGAAATTGGATTAGGTTGTAGAAGGCTCGGTAACCAAACCAAGACGTAACATCAGCTCATAAGCATTCTGACTGTTGATCTAAGCTGTGTAGCGCCAACACGGCTGTGTGATTTCAAGTAGGATCTTTGATTAGCGTTATGTACTTGGTTAATACTCCTTTCACAAACAGATACTGACATAACAACTCACGGTCGATGGAGACAAATACTTCCTTCATGTCAAAAAATATGACAGATATCGGTCGCCGGTAGGTGTGCCTGTGTTCCAAAACCTGTTGGAGAGCAAATATCTGATGTATACACCTTCTTCAAAGTCTGAGAACTACCTCATTTTCTCCAATTTACTGTTCTCCAGTTTGGTGTTGGATAACTATGGGCCCTAGGGTCTTCGAGATGATGTTAGTCAAACTGATTACCCCATGTTTTTCACAAGAAGACTTCTCTCACTTCACATAGACTAGGAGGATCAGTGCAGTACACCAGTCTGAAGGGCCACATCTGATTCCCATAGGCTACTTAGTACCTTTGTTACTTTAGTCGGTAATTTCTCATATCCTTTAAAACTTTGGGTATCAAGCCTGTCACATTCTGCAGCTTCGTGTCGTTTCAGGTTTGAAATAACCTTCACAACTTTGAGGAGAGTTGTCTGGTTTAAGTTTTGCGCTGGGTTCTGGACAAATTGGTCGTTCCCGT